AGTGCACAAAGACTGATGAGATGTGGCCTAAACGTTTATGAGCAGGGCCCTGGCCTACGACCACTGATCTCCTGCTCAGGAGTATGATGACAGAATAAAACACAAGCACAGACAAGATATATACTTTAGTTATCAGGGCCATCGGGATGGTGAAAACCCAAAGACTAAGACCACAAAGTATGCTGTCCTTGGCCTCTATTAAGTGCACAGCTTGATTGAGGGTGTGTTGGAGGGCTGCAGAAAGCAGGGGGCATGAACTGCTAATGAGGTCAAGGTTCAAGAATTGAGCAACAATGCATTTTTGGAAAAGTACACAGGAGCAGATCATGGTTAACTAGTAACCTGACTATCTGCTAACTGCAATTACTAAGCTAGAATTTGGATAAGTAAAGTCCTCAGCTGCCATGTTATCTTGCTTTGAGGCACCAGAACTTAACAGAGTCTGCTAGTCTCAGTTCTGGCCATTGGCTTAAAGATTAATCTGCCTGTGAGCCAGCCATGGGTTTTGCCACAAGTCACGTAGGCCCAGGACAGACTCTCAATTTATTCTTGTATTAATATCAATTATTGCCTACTCTGCACTGCATCAAGTTGGTCCTCAGGAGTTTATAGCTATCCAAAATTCTTTTGCTGAAACCTACATAATCACCAATGTGTTATTAGGTAAGGCTTTGTCTTGGTTATTTTTCTCTTGTTCCTGAGACAAAATACCTGACACCCAAAATTAAGGAAGGAAAAATTCATTTAGCTCACAGTTTGTGGAGGTTACAGTCTATACTCAGCTGACTCCACGGCAGAGAGGCACATGGCAGAGGGCAACAAAAGGGTTCATGGCTGTGGAAGACAGCAAAAGCAGCAAGAGCAAAAAGGGAGGAGGGGCAGCAAGCAGCCTCTTTCCTTCCCTTACATTATATGCAAACTACCTGCCCCAGGGCAGGGTAGCACTCATATCCATAATCTCAGCACTGAAGGTGGCACAGTGCCTGCCTGGCAAGCGCAAGGTCCTGAGTTCAATTCCTAGTAGCAAAAAAAAAAAAAAAAAGACGACATAATTCCAGCATTGGACTATGGATCAATCAGAAACTCTAGAAGCCCAACCCATGACTCCCATGACTACATGAGGCTTTGGGGGCACATCTAGACACAAACCATGACAGGCTGCTTGGAGGTGATTAGGTCATGAGGGCACAGCATACCATAAATGGTATCAGTGCCCATGGAAAAGGGCTGAGGGAGCTGCTTTGCCTCTTGGACCATGTGAGGACACATGAATGAGGAACCATCTCTGAACCAAGAATCAGGCTCTCCCTAGACACCTTATGCTGACACCTTGATTTTGGGCTTCCCAGCCTCCAGAACTATGCAAATAAATATCTATTACTCATAAGTTACCTACATCAATGGAATTTTGTTATAGCAGCCTAAAAGACTAAGACACTAGGGGCAAGACAAATTCATCACACCAATAAAAGAATCAAAATCATTTTAAGATATAAAACCTTAAAAATTATTTTTCATGATAAAATATACACACTATAACATTTGCCATTTTAAACATTTTTACATTTATGTCTCAACAGCAGTAAGTACATTCATTTTGTAATATAATTGTCACCACTACCCATCTCCAGAAATTCTTTCCCCAATCCATACTGAACCTCTGCACCCATTAAACAACTCCACATTCTTTCCTCCCCTGGGAACTATCATTCTGCTTTATGTCTATGAATCTATTCTAGGTAATTTCATACAAATGGACACATATAATATTTGTGCTTTTGTGCTTAGTTCACTGTCTTTAAGTTTCATTCATATTTTAGCATATATCAGAATTTCATTCCTTTTTATGTTTCACTAATATTCCGGTGTGTGTGTGTGTGTGTGTGTGTGTGGTATGTGTGTATTTTATCCGTCTATCCATTTTGATGGACTGTTAGGTTGTTGTACCTTTTGGCAATTGTGAATAATGCTGTGATGAATAAGATATACAGATATGTTTGAGATGCTGTTTTCACTTATTTTGAGTATATATGCTACAGTAGAATTGCTGGGTTACATAATTCTCACTAATGCTCTATTTTTAAGGAAATGCCACACTGTTTTGCACAGCAATAATTCTATTTTACATTCCCACAAAGAGAGCACAAGGGTTCCAGTTGCTGCCTGTTCCTGCCAATCCATGTGCTTTCTGTTATTTAATTTTTGCAGGGAGTATGTTTTTGATAGACATCTTGGGATGAAATTGTTATCGGCAGTTAAGTTAGGTAAAATATTATAGGCAGTCAGATAGGGCTAGGCACTTGAAGGAACCAGTGCAGAAGACAAAGGACCTCCACTGTGGGGCCGACCTCAACACAAAAGATGAAACAAATGTACCCACATACTTCCTAAAGATAAACATCAGGGATTGATATTCTAAATAAGTATCAATCACCTTGAGAAAGCCAGGAAGAGCCACTAACCCAGTCTCCCTCCAAAACCTCGTTCTGTATTCATGCCCAGTTGCTACATGCCTTGCTTCCCCATTTGATCCCGATTTAATTAATATTACCTCAGCAATTATACTTGTAATTTTATTGGTTAACCATAGTTTTGCCCCACCTCATGCTCACCTTGCAATTTCCCATTTTTCCAACCTTGGACCTCCCTGTCATAGATTTGCTCTATAAAAATCCCTAAAAAAGGTAGGGTCCTTGGCAACCCACTGAGGACTCCTCTCTCTGAGACAGAAGCTTTGTTTGTCCCAATAAATATATTCTGCTCTTAACCTCCGTTGTTCCTAATTTTTTTTTTTTTTTTTTTTTTTTCGTTTTTCTCCGGTACCGGGAACCGAACTCACGACCTTGCGCTTGCCAGGCAGGCGCTTTTGCCGCTGAGCTAAATCCCCAGCCCCACCTAAAATTGATTCTTCAATTTTAGAGAACAAGAACTCGTAGGGACATTTAGCAGGTTGGAAGTTTCTTCCCCTTATATCAAAATGACACTTCATGTGATTTTGATTTTAATGATTAGTGAAGTTGTGCATCTTTTCTTGTGCTATTAGTCTTTTGCATTTTTTATTTGCTTGTTTTTGAGACAGGGTCTGGCTATGTAGTTCAGGCTGGCTTTAACTCGTGTTGCCCAGGCTAGACTTGAACTCCTGACGATCCTCCTAATAGCTTCCCCAGTGCTGGTATTACAGGCATGTGGCACCACACCTAGCTTGTAAATCTTCTTTGGGGGAGTATGTACTCAGGTTCTTTGAATAGTAAACTTCTGACCACAAGGTTCCTATCCCTGGGAATTGGTATCCACATGGTTTCTTCATGAAGAATTGAGTGAAATCCTTTCTTTTAACCAACAAAAAGAACAGATAAATGGTTCTCTGTTCTGTAGTTGTTGGTAGTTAGCGCCAAAAAATACAAAATGCATTGTTTAGAACATAGAATTCTTTACTGAGATTCCCTAATATATGATTAAATCTCTACTTCCTAACTTTCTCTACATTTTCATGAGTACCTACTATACTAATGTCCTATTTTCACAATTACAAATGACCACACTTTAAAAGCTTGAAACAGCACAAATTTATTGGACTGTGATCTGGAGGTCAGTTATCTAAAACCAAGGTACCTGTGTTCCTTCCTCAGAGGAAAATTCCTGCTTCAGTCTCCTGAGGCTGCTTGCATTCCTTGGGTCATCGTCTCTTCTTCATATCTGCTTTAGTGTCAGAGCTCCTACTACTGATTTTGAACTTCGTGCCTCCCTTCTTATAAGGACTCTTGTGGTTATACTGTGCCCTTTGGTTAATCCAGGTTTAACCTTCCCGTTTCTATCCTACTCACATCTGAAAAACTCCCGTTTGCAAAAAAGGTAGCACAGGAGTGTGTTCCAGGGATTAGGAGATGGGCATTTTTGGCATAACGTTATTTTATCACATCTACGGTGTGCCTCAGAAGGGTAACAAGGAAATTAAGGCCTTCAGTATATTCAGCAGATAGCATTTTCCTCTTAGATTATTTTAACTACATCTCCTTTACCAGTACACTTTCCACTGTGTTTGCAATGTGTTCTTCATCCAAAGAACAGACTATGAACATGAACAGTCTCAAATAAACCTTGCTGATATAAAACATCGCACAATAACCCTACGTTTTCATTATTGTCGTTTCGGCAACGAATTACGAAAACAACCAGAACAGCTTTCTCTTACAAACAACCCACAAAAACTTAAAACTTCTCATCCTATAGCATAATAGGTAGAAAGGGGCAGAAACACATTGACCACTCCCTGGGCAACAGCTGCCCTAAACTCGACCCTTCCAGCGTCGCTCGCCGATCTCGAGTCCAGAGTTGGAGCGCACCGCCAGGGGCCTCCCTCACCCGCGCCCGGAGACGCCACCCAGGGGCGCTCACACGCGCTTCCGGCTCCCGCGGCCCCTCTTTTCACTTTCCGCTCGCTCCGCCCCCGGAAGCTCCCGCGCGACTCTCGGGACTCGTGCGCGTGCGCGCTCCGCAGGGAGTCGCGTGCAAGCCCGCGAGAGCGTGCTGGTGTGTCCGTGCGTCTGTGCGTGCGTGCGTGCGTGCGTGCGTGCGACCGGGCCCGCGAACGCCCCGGCTCCCAGGTGAGCGTCGCGCGAACTCCCCTTCTGGGACCCTGTCCGCGGCGAGTCCTCCGTAACCTACCACCCGTTCGGGATCCGTTTGTGGTCTCCGTGCCCCGGCAGCGGCCAGCACTCGGGGTCGGTACGTCGCAGCCTGCGCGGGAGGTCGCAGGCGGGCCGGGCCGGCCCCAGCCCTCCGCCGCGTCTGCCCACACCCCTCGCCGCGGCCGCGGGTGTAACCACAACAGAGGCGTCCGGGTAGGGACGGCGGGCCTGCCCCGGGCCGCGTTGGAGGTGGCTGGGGCCGGGGTCGGCTCCAGAGTGAAATGAGGTCGCGTCCCAAGCCCAGGTTCTGATTGCTGAGCACACCTCCGCGGACTTGAACCCAGACCCCGAACCTGAGGCGCTCTGGTTTGTCTGCTTCCTCCTGAGGTCGGGAGCGGGTCGTGGTCGGAGCTTCAAGTTCGTTGATAACAGATTTTTACACTGGGCCAAGATTTTTGTGTATCCCACTGAGTATTTTTTGGGGACCCTATTATGTATCTACAGAAATGTAGTGTCACGGGAACAAAACGAGACTTTGAAAAAAAATCGATTTTTTTATTCTATGTTTTTTCTTGATGTCGTGTGAAATCGCTAATATTTCTATTGCCGGCTCCTGAGCTATACAAATGGTGAGTGTCTACGAGACCCTTAAGCAACTTAGGCAAAAACTCGCCTTGATGGAGCACCAGAGGGTTTTGATCTAGTGAACTGTCATTTAACTTTACCCTTTCCCTTTGTGTTGTAAAGAGAATCTTAATTATTTTATGAAGCTATTGTTCTTATTCTCTACTGTAATTAAATCTCACTAACTTTGGAGTGAATGTTACTAGAGAATTACTTAGTGGATGGGATTATTTGATACATTTTCCTGTCCATTAAATCACATGAGTGTTTAAATCCTTACAATAACCTTATCTGTCAGATAATGTTTTTTTCTTTTTGTTTTTTTGGTTTTTTTTTTTTGCGTTACCGGGAATCGAACTCGACCTTGCGTTTGCCAGGCAGGCGCTGTGCTTCTGAGCTAAATCCCCAGCGCCTTCTGTTAGATACTGTTTTGTTGTTTTTTTTTTTTTTTTTTTTGGTTTTTCTCCGGTACCTGGAACCGAACTCACGACCTTGTGCTTGCCAGGCAGGCGCTTTTGCCGCTGAGCTAAATCCCCAGCCCCCTGTTAGATACTGTTGATCTAAGTTTAAACCTGTTTCCCAGTGGAGTGCACCTCTGCTGAACTGTGACCAGTCAGGGAAGCAGATGGCTTACAAGGGTATCATTCTGATGTATATATCTGAAGCGGGTAAGGGAAAAGGACAAGAACTGTGAGAAAAATAAATTGAAAAAAAGGTGATTTTCCTGCCTACATAGGTAACAAAGAGCAGAACTAGAGTTCAATCTCACCTGTCCTAACTCCAGACTTCTTTGTGGGATAACATGCTTTAAATGACTAATAATTATCAGGTCATCCTCCAGGCCCTGGGGATATAAAGGATGAGCCCCCAGTCTGATAAGGAATCTTTTTTCCCCTGTGATGGTACTAAGTATTGAACGCAGGAGCCTTTACACTTACCAACATTCTTAGCCCTTTTTTAATTTTTTGAGACCAGATTGCTCTAAGTTGCCCTGGCTGAGGTTGATCGTGCTGTCCTCCTGCCTCAGCCTGCTAGAGTGCCAGAATTGCAGGTGTACTAGTGAACCAGGCTGATTTATTGATTTGTTTATTTTTGAGAGGAGGTCTTGCTATGTTGCCAAAGCTGGTCTGGAACTCCAGGGCTCCTTATCCTCCCATCTCAGCCTCCCAAGCACTGTAGAGCTGATGGGCACCTCTAACCAATCTGGTAAGGAGACAAGTCTAGGGGAGGGGGAGGAAAACTTCCTCCTTTATCCTCTTAGGTTTTGCACAGCTGGCCTCCTGGAAATTAAATTGACAAGACAGATTAACAAGAGAAAGGTTACACATTTTATTTATGACATGGGGCCTTCCTGGAAAAGAAGTGTTAAGACCCAAAGTAGAACTCTTTTAAACACAGAGTGGTAAATTGTGAAAACAGAACAAGCCTGTAGAGGATGTGAACTGGGAAGGTAAGTACAAGGGGAAACTAATGGAAGATAAGGGCCTAACTCATCTCAGTGCCAACTTGCTTTTCTTATTTTTTTTTCTTTTTTTGGTTTTTCTCCGGTACCTGGAACCGAACTCACGACCTTGCGCTTGCCAGGCAGGCGCTTTTTGCCGCTGAGCTAAATCCCCAGCCCTTTTTTTTTTTTATTTTATTTTATTTTTTTTTTTTTCCAACTTTCTTTTCCATGGCCAGAAACCTTCCCTGTGAGAGAGGAATGATGGCAGTTTTCATTCTTCAGAAACTTCTGCTTTAGTCACAGAAAGTTAGCTGTGGGAGCCTTTCTGAGTTTGCTCTCAGTTGTCCTCAGCTCTAACGTGTCCTCATGCTGAAATGTCATAATTTGGGGTAGCAAGTTGTGATTCCCCTTCACAAGCAAGGAAGAAAACTGTTAACTATGAAAAATAAGGGTTTCCTATGGCTCGTGGACAGACTTTGGGATTTAGACTTGGGAGTTGAGAAACAGATTCTGTCCTCCTTGCATTCTCTTTGCAAGTGAATTCTCTCTGTAATTCTCTTTGCTTCAGCAGACCTGATAGGTCATTCTCTCGCAAGGTAGCCCATTCCAGTTTTATGTTCTTATGCTAAACTTGGAACAGGTGTTTTGTGCACCCTATCTCTTGATACAGATTCTATCTTGGAACTACAAGTAGCAAATCTAACACCTTTTTTGAAAGGTGAAAGATTTATGCAATCTGAAGAGAAACTGGAGTATCTAAAATCTTTTTTAATATCAGTCCTGAAGTGAAAGTATGTGAACATTCCCTTTCCCTTAGTCATTACTTTCATTTGTTACAAGTCTCTTGTTCTGTAAACCATTAATCATGACTTAGATTCTATGCTCTTTACCTAGAATTAAATGCTTCATTAAAAAATTGACCAAACAAAATACAATGAACTTATCTAAGACTGTATAGAGCATAAACTCCAACATTTAAAGTTACCAGAAATTACTAACAGTAATTTGTCTGTTTTGTCTTACACACACGCGCACACACACACACAGAAGCATGCTTCTTTGGAAAGGGAGTTTGGTCACAGTTTGGAATAGGGGGAGCTACTAATTAATTCGAAGTTTAGTCTTAATTGCATGGTTCTTAATCATGTCAAAATGAGAAAGGAAAGAACAGTATTCAGCACTTTACATTTTATTTTTAAAGGTAAATTTTCTTAGCAAAAAGGGTAACTTTTGGGGGTGTTTAATCTTATGTTGGGGGTGTATGAAAACTGTCCATTCAGTGACTGTTTGGATTTCCTTTGTTTTTCTCTTTGAACCTGAGTAAGTAGAATTGGATTGGTAATGATCCGTTGTAGTCTTTAGGTTTGTGATGACCAGTGATTATAGGTCCTTGCCCAAGTCTGTTTTTCACCAGCCTTATTCTTCCCGCTCCTCATAAGGTTATACTGTTTGCGTTTTTATGTCTGTCCTTCCAATCCATGCTTTATAACTGTTTGTATGTCTGTGCTCAGGAAGAATGTAGCATTGCTTTGTGTATGTTTTAAGTTTTACACAATGACAATATATTGTTGCTCTTTAAATTCTACTTAGTCTACATTATTTCTGTAGATCTCAGCTTAACTTTTTTTCTCATATAGCATATGCTTATATAGCATTTTATTTATCCATGTCCATTTAGTAGACATTGAGATTATTTCTAATTCATCACTATTACAGGGTTATTATGAACATTCTTCTACATAGTTCTAGGATCAGACAGCCGGGAAGTAGCAGAACCAAGCTTTAAGGTTGGGGGTTGTCTGACTCAGTTCACTGTTTTTCAGATACCACCTGATTCTCATTCATCATTTATAGCACAGATAATTTTAGAGTAACAGTAATGGAATTTTTTTAAAAGTTCCAATGAGATTGAATTGTTGGTGATTTTTCTTCTAATGGTTCAACTTTTAATTTCTGTTTTGTCCCTCTAATTTTTATTTAAAGGAATAAATTGTATCATTAATCCAACATAGATAGCAGTTTTATATTCTGTAATTTTCATGCTGATATATTATCTGCATCAGGTCTATGAACTTTTTCAGTGAAAGGTCAGATGGTAAATATTTTGGTCTTTGTTCGTCATAGGCTAACGCAGCTCCTCAGCTCTGCAGTTCTGGTATCAAAGCTATCAAAGCTAAGATGTAAACCCATGAATGGGCTGTGTTTTAATAAAACTTTATTTAGAAAAACAGATAGCAGGCCAGATTTGACCCTGAACATCCAGTTTGCTGATACTGGATCTATGTAATTGTTTTAATGCCATCATGGTTTTTTTGTGTATAAATTTTTCAGTATTACAAGTAATTTTGTAATACCATTTTGTCTTTTGGATGTTATATCCTTAGGATAAATATCCAGAAATGAAAATAAAAAGAGGGCATTGTGTACAGTGAAATGTTGCTTAAATGTTGAAATGTACTTACAAATATTTCTGTTTAAATCTAATTTTATGTTAAAGTTTTAAAGCTCACTTGTACTTTTATAAGTCTTCACTGAGTTTATAAAATATATTCAATTTCAGTGAACATTGTATACCATTTGAAAACTTACCATCACAACTTCTGTATTTTAATTTTCTTAAGTACCTCAAACACCTAAGAAGGAACACTTAAAATCTAACACAGAAAAATCTTCCTGTATACCAAGACTGTACCAAGACATTGTTTATAAACCAAGTAAGTCTAAACTTACTAATTTAGCCAGTCAGATTCTCTAAGGCGTTTAAAAGGTTACAGTTAAATTTTTATAAGTCTAAGGGCTAAGGATGTAGCTCAACAGTAGAGTACTAGCCTTGTGTATCTGAGGCCCTGGGTTTGATTGGAGCAGTGTAAAATAATAATAAATACAAATTTACAAGTCTAATATATGTGAATTTCTAAAGTCTTCAAAACCTTAAAGCCACACAAAATGTATTGGATGATAAAATGTATTACCACGTATGCTTAAGCCATTACATTAACGTATCATATTATACTTAGTAATAGAAGTTTACTTTATTTGTAAATCATGGCTATCATTGTTTTTATATCTTCCCTTAGGTTACATGGTCACTTAATGTGCTGGCTGTTAGGCTATGCATTAATTAATCTTTTATTGCCTGATTTGATATAATGGAATTAGTCATAATTTGACTATAAAGAACACAGAATTGCATTGTTGGCTACAAATAATTGTAAACATTTATGTCTGCGCTTTTTCTTTAACATAGTATGTGTTATCTGTGCTGCCTTTTGTATGTCATTATGGACTCATGACTTTCCACAGAGTTACTATTTTTATTTTGTATATATTTTTCTCTTTATTATTCCTCCATGCTAAATTATCTAGTTTCTAAGTGGCAGCCTTTTAAAACTTGATTTTTGTTTAATTTTCACTACCCCAGGCATATTTGAATATTGTACTTTCTGTAACAATAAAATATTCCAGTAAGATGATTGTTTTTCTTTGCTTTTGGCAATAAAATCAGCTGCCTTCCAGGGAATCCTAGGCTTTTTTAGTGGATAATAGTATTAGAGATCAATTCTGAACTTAAGATTATCTATAACAGATAATGTGACATTGTTTCTTAGAATACTGGGATAATATAGGGAAATAGCGTTTTAAGGTTATAACATTACAGTGTGATGTTTCCACTTTAGTTCCAATTGTGTGCAATATTGATATTTAAAATAATTTTTTTAAAAAATGACTGTACTGCATACATAAATTTGTAGGTCAACTAGTAATGTGTATAACAAAAACAGTTCTTGCCCCAGACAAGGCAACTGTTGAAATGTTTTAGTCCATTTCTTCTAATATTGTACTTTATGTATATGTTGTGAGCAAGCTATGCTATTAGCATAGACCAGACACATTTGTGTACTGTATTTCCACACTGTCAGACTCCCCACCCTACCCTGTACAACACAAGGATTGAACACAGGGCCTTCCCTCCGATCTGTACCCCGAACCCTTTTTAAGTTTTTAATTTTTAAAATTTTCAGACAGGGCCTTGCTAAGTTGCCCAGGGTCTTGAACTTGTGATTGTCCTACCTCCACCTCCAGACTGTATTGAATAATAAATTTACAAGTTATTGAATTTTGTTAGCCATTCTCGCTGAGTACTAGGTTTCAGTTGATATCCAAAGAGGTAAGCAATTGCAAGTTCTTTTATTCCAATCTTAGTTACTAATATCTTTACACTGAAGTCATACATCTCTCTTCATACAATGATATGTAGATTACAGAAGGCTAGGAGCCCACAGAGTTGTGAAGACTCACCACAGATGGCTAGATAAGATTACAGACCAGGTTGTATTTCCAGGGACAGGACTTGTTGAGAGGACAGGGTTGGTTCAGAGCCCAAGTCAAAACAGCAGACAGATTGAGTGGGCTGTGTCAAGCATGGAGATGGAGTGGAGGGGAGGTCTGGCAGCAGAAAGCCAGAGTTCCTCACCTGCCGACTTTGTGATTCATCTGGCAGGTGGTCTGATGATGTGTTGGTGTATGTTGCCCTTATACCCATATTGTTGGGTACCCTTTCTTTTTTTTTTTTTTTTTT